GGTTCCAGGGTGTATATATGACTGGGATAAAGAGGGACTCAAAAACTGTGTCAGTGGCATGGAGGTCAAGATAACTATAAAACTGAGGAAGGTACTTAGAGCACTCAGAAGTAAGAATCTATCAGAATACCCAATTTCACAATATAACAAAGTATTGTTTCTCTGTGATAGCTTTTTAGTTTCGACCAATCTATTTTGGGGCAATTAAAGGATTACAGTTCATATGGTAGATTTTTGTTGAATATAACTAAATGTTCATTGGAGAGCAAGCAATCATTTGCAAATTGCATATTTATGCATTACATCAAATGTAGGTTCACTTTAAAAACCAGAATATGCTTTGGTTTCTACTTCAGTCACCTGAAGTAGAAAGGAAGAATAAGAAGTGGCAAGAGATTAAGTTCAAGTTTATCAGTTTTTGAAACAACAGAAGAAATCTTGTTAAAATATTTTTTCCAAGTTAATATATAACAATCATTCTTCCAGTTGGCAGTTTAGCTAGTGACAAAAAGAGACAACTGATGTGCTCTGTGTGCCTATTTATTGTACCTTACTTTAACTTGAAATTCGATCCTTTAATAAGATGAACTTTATCACTTATCTCACTTATCTGCCAGATGTTTTTCGTTTTTTTGTTTTTTTTTTTTTTAGAAAAAAGGTTTCACATCGGCCACTTAAGCAGTCTATTACAAGTATAAATTTCACTTCATATTGTTACACCATAGGAATAGCTATATTGCTCAAGAAAACATAATCCTGATATAAAGCATAATTATTTTAGAACTGTATCATCACATATTTATCAAGTATCTATATACTTAAATATATAGCTTAAAAAGGGGGGAAGGATGGAGAAAACTGCTGCTGTCAGTTTTTAAAGACAGTATGTAGAAAGTCAAAATAGTTCTAGATTTCCAAGCAATTAAAACAGGGACACAGAGAAAGAATGGTAGCAGATGGCAGATTCCTCTGTTTTCACCTACAGGAGCCACTGTAACAATTCAAATTTAACTGACAGAAATTTCCAGACTTCAGGCAGAATATAATACCACCTGCCATATAATATACCTGATAAAGATATACAAACAGAATGACTATAACTACAGTCAAATTCAACTTAAAGTTTAAGCAGCACCCCAAATTTAAATAAGTCTCTTTTCTTACACAGATATTCAAATCAGACCAGAAAAATTATGTTGTTGAGACAAAAGAGATCTGGCATTTTACTTCTTCATTCGGGATTGAAAAAACACGACCTTTGGCTTTCTAACCAGCCATTTCATTCATGGCGTCAATAGTGGATGGTAACGACATGGAAATGTATGCTGGATATTTGGATGGTTTAAATATTATGTACAATCAATAGCTTATAACCAGTGAAAATAATAACATAATTCAGCGTAAGTGTCCAAGATAAGATACAAAAAAGCAGAGAAAGTGCTTAAGTCTACAGGTCTTCCCTGAAAGCTTTAAAAATGTTAACTCTTTAAGAAGGTAGGGCTTTTAATAGAATTTGCATAGCAGCTTACAAGATAATTTGCATTAAAAAATATGGAGATTCTTCCATGATTTTGAAAACATACAAATATATCCACATGCATATAAATTAAAAAAAAAAAAAGACCTGGAGGTTCTCACAAAATTAAAAAAATATCCATTATAATCTTTTTTTCAAAAGTGGTCACATTTTTGTCCATTGAAACCATTTACAGTGAAACCTGTTTATCTGAGAGAAACATATTCTTGTCCAGATTCCACACAGCTTAATTTTTTTTTAAAGAATAAATTTTGGTTTATTAGCTAAGTGACTTAATCAGCTGAAAAAAAGTTTTGTTACCATGCTGCTTAGGAGGATAAATTAAAACAATCAGTTAAAACTTTAATCATTTGTTGGTTAGAGATTTTTCCACTTAGAAAAATATAAGAAATAAATAATTCAATCTCTTCTGCCATGCAATAATTTTTAATAATAAACTTTGTGAGACTACAGATGATAAAAACAGGCACTATCAGACTTTACCTGGCCTAAAAAGTGCTAAAACATGGCTTTAAAATAGGTGAATGACATTTAAAGTAATAGTTTTGATTTCCTGTACATGTCCCAATATTTAACCTGAAACTCTATCTACTAGGTAGGTGAGTTTACAGTTACAACTATCTAATAAATACTGTATAAACAAAGTATTTCTTCATATAAAATATTAGATACTAATTTCCAGGTAAGGTTCATTTGATGACTTCAGGAAAGGACTTACCTTTTCCAGAAAAATAGCAACTGAACCTTTTATTTTATAGGCATCTGTGTGGAATATGGAGAAGATTTCTAAGCCCCAGGTCTTGGGAACACAGGAAGTGGTCCATCGAAATGAGAGGGACACTACTCTTCAAGTCCTTTACATTCTACCCATGGAAGCCCACAACATTCTCAACGATTTTCCTAATATGAAATGAAAATGAAGTTAGCTGTTCTATAAAAGATGTGAAATATCAAAAATGCCCACTTTTAGTTATCATTTGAAAATAATTTGCCAAATTTTGGCATCTAAATACAAAATACAAGTTGACCCCTGAATAACACAGGGACTAGGGGTGTTGACTCCCTGTGCAGTCGAAAATCCATTTTAACTTTTGACTCCCCGCAAAACCTAATGACAGTCATCCCTTGGTAACCATGGGGGATTGGTTTCAGGACCCCCCACGGATACCGAAATCCACAGATGGTCAAGTCCCTTATATAAAATGGCTGTGGAGTAACGTATACAGTCAGCCCTCCTCATGCATGGATTCCCAACCAGGGATTGAAAATACGTACATATTTTTCACGGCTGTCTCATTCATAAAAAGTACTTCATTTGTGGTTTGAAAATCCCACAAACACACTTAATTGAAGAACAACCTGGTCACCCATGATTGGAAAGCTGTTGAAGTACGTTAAACAAGCAGCTTAAGGGCCCTTGCTCTTGTGGGTGCTAATGGTCAAAGGAAACCACTCATACAATTTCCTTTTACATCAAGACTCAAAAGATATCGAAAACCCTATGGACCTTGGTCTTAAACATGACAGTTTAAGCTTGAGCAAAATGACCTGAAATGCACACGTGTTTTACTTCTCCTGCCTACATTTTTAATCACACCCTTTTTACAGATCTTTTTCATGTAACTAATGAGCAGCATAGCTCAGAAGTTCCCCCGAAAATCTTTTTAGCCTTCCACACTAACACAGAAAACCTCAACCAAATAGCTGCTGCAAATGTCTGTGACTACATCGTTTTCGACTTCTCAGATTAACAACATTCTTACTGCAAAGAGTGTCTAAACTCCCCTGTCTGAGGGTATTATGTATTGAAACTCTTCTTCCAGAAATCATTTCAAGATATTTTTTCTTCCCTGGCTTGAAAAGTTATTTAAGTGAATCAGACAGTTCATTTCTGGGACTGGAGCTCGAGGAGAACAGAAATCTCTCACCAACTTCTGTATATGGTTAATGTCACCACACACGGGCAAAGGCTGACTTATGGACAGTGTGAAGGCGATGGGGTTACAATGTCTAACTAGAACTCTGCTCACGAATCTGCTCTTTCACACGTTCCACCTATATGGTGAGTTTGCACTCAAACAATACACCTCATGTTTTGCACATACTGTTGTGTTTTCTTTTCCTGTTTGGAGTGCTGCCCTCCTCCACATTCTCTAGTGTTTACATCTTTATGGCATTCC